CGTCGGCATCTGTGTAAGCAGGTTTGAGTCTATCCACGGAGACCGTCATCTTTTTACCTTCTTTGCTCACTGTGAAATATTTTTCCGCGCGATGCACTACTGGGTATGGGCCTTCATATGGAGGTTGTAGCCCTTTCCTGACGTTGTCGATCCGTATAAAGACAAATTTACAGGTTTGTAGATGGCTACTTAGATTTTCTCTGCGGGGACATTGTCTCGGAGCTATTGGTTGAAGTTGTGACATTCGTCTGGTAAGTTGATCAGAAAACTCAGAAATATTCACATTTTGAGAGTCATGAGAGGCTACTAGCTGTCCTGGCAGTGTTAAAGTAGTGCCGTAAACTAGTTGTGCGAGTGTACAACCAAGGTCCTCTTTAACAGTTGATCGTATGCTAAGTAAAATCAGAGGTAAGTATTCACTCCATTTAGATGGATCATTCTGTGCCATCAGGGAGCTTTTCAGTTGTCTGTGAAATCTTTCCACAAGACCATTCGCTGCCGGATGGTAGGCTGTTGTGGAGATATGTTTAACTCCCAGGAGTCTCGTCAGTTCACGAAACAGCGTCGATTGGAATTGAGCACCTCAATCGGATGTAATAGTGGTTGGTACACCGTAATTTGAAACCCAGCGGTCGAGGAAAACCATAGCAACATTTTCGGCAGATATATCGTTCAGGGGGCATGCAATAGCCCAACGAGTAAATCTATCAATGGCCGTCAGGATATGTGTATATCCTCTTGACGTTGACAATGGTCCTACAATATCTATATGAACGTGCTGAAATCTCCTGTCCGGTAAATCAAACGTTTTCGGCGTTGTGATAGTGTGGCGATGTACTTTGGAGCGTTGGCATTAGAGACATTCTCGTGCCCATCTCCGAATGTCAGAGTTCATTTTGGGCCACACGAAACGTTCGCTGATGAGTCTGACGGTGGCACGTACTCCAGGGTGAGAGAGGGAATGTAAGTGGTCGAATAAAGCTTTTCGGCATTGGAGAGGAACGAACGGGCGATTAGTGCCGGTAGATACATCACAAACTATAGTGGCATCTGACAAGAGAATAGGTACGTCCCTGAGCTGTAAGGAAGAGTTTCCACGACAACTTCGAAGTTCTGCGTCGTCTCTTTGTAACTGAGCCATCCGGTCAAGACTGACGTCTACTGAAGTTTCAAGCTGGTGTATATCACCTCTTGAAAGAGAATCAGCTACCACGTTTGCGTCCCCTTTGATGTACTGTATGTCAGTTGAAAATTGAGAGATATAGTCTAACTGTCTGGCTTCTCTTGGGGAGTGTTTATCCAGCGAAGTGGTGAAAGCATAGCACAGAGGTTTGTGGTCGGTAAAAATAGTGAAATGACGACCTTGTAGTAAGTAACTGAAGTGTTCGACTGCTAGGTATATAGCCAACAATTCTCTCCCAAAAGTACTGTAACGTGTCTGAGCCGGTTCTAACCTCTTCGAAAAGAAAGCAAGTGGGGTAACGTCACCATTAATCTTCTGCTGTAACACCGCGCCCACAGCTACTTGGGAGGCATCTGTACACAAGATAAGGGATGCGTCGGGGTTGATGTGAGACAACATAGCGACTTTAGATAAAGCGTCTTTCGCGTTGCAGAAAGATTCGTGTGCTTGCTCTGACCATTGAAATTTTTTAGGATCACTTTTAAGGAGATCGGTTAAAGGTTGGACGATAGAGGCACACGAAGGAATAAAACGTCGATAGAAATTAAACATCCCCAAAAATTGTCGGACTTTCTTCAAAGAGTCTGGTTGGGGAAAGTTTTTGATTGTATCTATCTTTTCCTCAGTAGGCCTGATTCCCTCGGCAGTTATGTAGTGTCCCAGAAATTGAATAGAAGAGGCACCGAAAATGCACTTCTTAGGATTTATAGCGACACCATACTGTTCGAAACGCTGAAACAAAGTGCTAAGATGATTCTTATGTTCCTCTTCCGACTTGCTAGCAATTAGTACGTCGTCGATATAAACGAATACAAAGTCAAGGCCCCGCGTGACTTGATCCATGAAGCGCTGAAAAGCTTGTGCAGCGTTTTTCAGCCCGAAAGGCATTCGTAGGAATTCAAACAAGCCAAAAGGTGTTATAATAGCTGTCTTCTCGATGTCCTCTGGAGCAACTGGTATCTGGTGATAAGCTCTGACTAAATCCACTTTGGAGAAAATAGTTTTACCTTGCAGTGTTAGAGAGAAATCATGCAAGTGGGGAATGGGATAACGATCTGGAACAGTGGTGTTATTCAAACGTCGGTAATCCCCACACGGTCGCCAATCATGCTCAGCTTTTGGTACCATATGTAATGGTGAGGACCAGGGACTGTTGGATGGCCGGATGATGCCCAATTGCATCATGTGTTCGAATTCAGCTTTGGCTGCTGCTAACTTGTCAGGTGGTAGTCGACGAGGACGTGCTCTGACGGGTTGACCAGTTGTGACAATTTTATGAGGAAGAGAATGAGGAACATCTTCGATATTATAAGATGGCTTTAAAATTTTTGGGAAACGATGCAGTAATGCAGAAAACATGCAGTCATCTGGCTTCTCGATGCATATGTTATAAACAGAGTAGTTTGAGATGATTCCGTGGACTTGAAGCTGGGTGCAGTTATCAATCAGCTTTTTCTTGTTGACATCAACCAGTAGATTGAAATTGCTTAAAAAATCGGCACCCAATATGGCATGACTAACATCAGCTACTATGAATATCCATGTAAATCGACGACGTAAACCAAGATCCAAAATAAGTGATTGTTCACCGTAAGTCCGTATGCTAGTTTGGTTAGCTGCTCGAAGTGAGAGTTTTGCAGCTGTACTAGAAGATCGCCTGGAGAGTGAAGGAGGTATTACACTAACTTCGGCTCCTGTGTCTATCAGGAATAATGTGCCTGTGGTTTTGTCCTTCACGTAGAAAAGGCGACTTGAATGGTTGCCAGTAACAGCTGTCGCCATCACTGTCTGGTTGAGACGTTTCCCCTGAGCCTGATTCTCTTCACTAAAGATGCACGGTTTGACACATTTCAAGGCATGACGTCCAAACTTCCTATGATACCAACATATATTACTGTCCCTAGAAGACATGCGGGACCGCTGTCGGGAGAGAGATCGTCTATGTGATTGTGACCAGGCTTGTGAACTCCGCCTCTCGACTCGCCGATCAGATCTATGTGTTTCCAACTTGTCAAGCCTTGCCGCTAAGTCTGCAATGGCGGTGAGTATTGGTGACGACATTATAGGTGTGAGAATATTGATACAAAGGGGAATACAAATATGAGACCACCAACAAAAACTTGCAATGGAAGTACAAAATAGCAAAAACGAGTATATAGATACGTGAAAACAATCCGTGTTCCAAAACGGGCTCACCAATTAAGTGTAGTGGACCTAGTAGCTAGGTAAGTATATAAACGCAATTAAAAGGACAGAACAAGTACTAACAAATACGTATGTATAAAATATTCAGTTCACTTAAGTTAATATACACAAAAAAAGGACTGAGGTTATTTGAAGAAAACTATAACAGTCACAAAATACACAAATTATAGACGTACGAAATTATAGGAATGTAATTGTCCTTCTCTTGATTATACAAATTCTCCACTACAACTTAGCGCTGTCAACCGTCGGAAGTCTCCACGTAGAGTAAGGCAGATAGGAGCAAAGTTCTTGACGGGGATGTGTCGACCAGTGCGAGACAGCGTTGGTCAGCAGATGTGCTGGGCGAGCAGCCGGAGAGAGGGCGAACGATTCGTTCCTTGCGCGCGGTTCAAGGTTTAAGGTTGAATTCCTTCTTTTTTTCGTGAACCTATAATTTGATATGTTTTTAGGCCGCCACAGGTTTGCCCCCAGAGTTCTGTGTCGATAGTTTTTTCTGACTATCTGATCTTCAGTATATCACTTTTATTTTCCTCTAGCTTTCAGATGGTTGTTCTGTGTTCTGTCATTATTGTTTTTTCACACTGTAGTCACTATCATACTGATAGCAACAGTAAATAACATTTTTAAATCGCCGTAACTCATACCTAAAAAATGATATTAGATTTTTTGTATTTATCACTGGATGGTCTTTAGGAGATGATGTTGACGGTTACACAAGATACTCCGTATACAAACACAAGGGTTTATCCCCAACTTTTAAAGTACTTCTTCTATTGAGACCAGAGATAAACCAAACCGCCTAATTGACCGTCCAAAGCAAGAGGTATATTTTGGGATGAGAAACATGGCGCAGTGATGATTTATTAACTTGCTGGGGTTCGCTCACGAACAACCGAACGTAATACAGCGTGCAAATGGCACGGGTGCTTGACCACGCACATTCAGCCTAAGACGTTGACTTGAACAGTGGCCAGCATCCATTGTTGAATGAAGAATACAGTAGACTAATAATTCTGGGGAATTACTCACCGCTACAGGCCTTGGAAGGAGGTGAATGAAAACAGTTGTTTTCGTTCTTCTGTGATGATAATTGTGACTTAGATCATACATGACATGTATTTAGCATCTGTTGTCCGTCGATAGGATTCATGCCTGAAATGGAGAATGAATCTAACATTCCTTTTTTGGTATAAAACATTCCATGGAAAGCTGTAATGAAATGTTTAACTGACGAATGTAAAATACATTCATCAGGCAGATTTTACGTATGATTGTACAGCTGTAGTAAAGGAATTCGTCGAAAATGGTTTCCTCTGTAAATCACGTGTTTTCTCTTTATGAAAGGCTTAACCCCTTAAACTACTGTAGCGGTAGATAATTCCCCTAAAATTATTAGCCTACAGTATTCATCACTGAACACTGGATGCTGACATTCACTGTTTAAGTTGACTTGTTTGTCTGAAGGCTTGCAGTCAAACGTCTGTAGTGTACATTGTACCTTTGAACTTTTGTTTGAATGAATGCAACCTGACATGTTGAACTTCACTTCCACTTCCGCATTGTATTCCTGAACCTCCTGTACGGTTTCGGGTTCGCTCTCTCGCTGTGCTTTCACCTAGCGCACTCTCTGAGCTTACCGCCGTCTCATCTGCAGATAAGTGTGTACCTCTTATTTCTTATCAAATTCCATATCTCTTTTGTGTAAATACAATTCTGTTCCAGTCACACTTGCCATCTCAAGTCTTTTAACCTTGATTCCGTTTGTTAGTACTTGCACGTTAGGCAGAGTACTATTAAGGCCATAAGCGGTGAATAAGTTTTGTAAGAGTAGTTACTTTTAGGTCGAAGTTAATACCAAGTCTAACTCTTACAAGTGGTGAGCCCGAATTTTCACCGTTGCCTACTTTTTAGCCTAGCGTGTAAATAGTCCTTTTTCATATTGGTAATTTGTTTGTCATACAGAGTTGTAAATTTTTATTTGCCTTGTTTTTACTCGTATTTTTTGTTGTTATCATATTTGTTGTCATTTTATTAATATATCGTCTCGTGTGCAAAATGACTGACGCCAGTCCCGCCTCAGAAATGGCTATTACCTTGCAACTCCCCACCTTCTGGACTCAGCATCCTGCCCGATGGTTCGAACACATCGAGGCTATGTTCGCACTTCGTAATATACACTCACAGGAGACTAAGGTGAACCTCGTTATAGTAAGTCTTCCTGAGCACGTCATGGAAGATGTATCTGATGTCCTTGCGGACCGATCCCCGGGCTTGTACGAGCGTCTCAAGCAGGCGCTTATTAAGCGCGTGGCACTTACCGAACAACAGAAAGTGCAGGAGCTATTCCGAGATGTCCACCTAGGTGATAGAAAGCCCACCCAACTGTTACGTCAAATGAGGCAGTTGGTGGCCGACTTCAAAATAGATGATGCCTTCTTGAAACAGCTGTGGTTACAACGGTTACCCCAGACAATTCAGACTATTTTAGCCCCAATCAACCATTCCCCCTTATCTGAGCTAGCTGAGGCAGCCGATAGAGTAGTAGAGACTACTACATCAAACATGAGTATCTCGGCTGCCGTTACCGCTAGTTCCACGCAGACTAGGACCTCCTCTGCCGTGGAGTCATCCAACGTTGATGTGGTGGCTCACCTCAATAAGCTGTACGAAGAGATAGATAAGTTAAAACTCGATAGGAGATCTAGAGGTCGTTCACATAGCCGCACCAGCTCGATTCGTGGCAGATCTTCGTCACGAGCTGGCAGCAGACGTCGTAGGCCTAAAAATTCCCAGCCTGGAGTGTGCTGGTATCACCGGCGTTATGGTGATAAGGCCCAAAAGTGCACTCGCCCGTGCACCTTTGATGGCCAGCAATCGGGAAACCTGTAAGCCAGCACGTATTGGCGACTAACGTCGCTGGCGAACCACTTCCATGTCGCCTCTTCTATGTTACCGACCGTACCACTGGGACACGCTTCCTAGTTGACACTGGGGCGGAAGTTAGCGTGATCCCACCAACATCTGAAGAGCGCAAGCGGCCACTTTCCTTACAGCTTCGCGCCGCAAATGGTTCGCCAATCACAACGTATGGCAAAAAGTTCCTGGACCTTAACATAGGCCTACGTAGGTCATTTCGATGGGTTTTCCTTGTAGCAGATGTAACTACTGGTATTATTGGCATGGATCTCATGCAACACTATCAGCTACTGGTTGATACTGGCAAACACAAACTGATCGATTCAGCTACAAGCCTTTCGATCTCCGGTGTTGTGACACTCACACCTGCATTAAGCCCAGTATACTCAACCCCTGCCTCTAACGGCCCTTACGCTGAAGTTCTTCAGTCCTTTGCCAATCTGTTCAAACCGATTTCTAAACTTCCTTGTGTGACGTCTACTGTCACTCATCATATCGTGACCACTGGTCCACCGGTCTTCGCTAAACCACGGCGATTGTCCCCAGAAAAACTACAAGCCGTGAAGGCTGAATTCGAACATATGTTAGATATGGGGATAATCCGTCCTTCCAGCAGCCCGTGGTCTTCCCCTTTACACGTGGTACCAAAGCCTAACGGGATAGATTGGAGGCCTTGTGGTGACTACCGCAGGCTTAACGCACAGACCGTACCTGATCGTTACCCCGTACCACATATTCATGACCTTACGTCGTCTCTCAAGGGTGCCACGGTATTCAGTAAACTTGACTTAACCAGGGCCTATCACCAGATTCCAGTTCACCCAGATGATATTCCTAAGACGGCAGTGATCACCCCGTTTGGTCTTTTCGAATTTCTTCGAATGCCGTTTGGACTCCGCAATGCCGCACAAACATTCCAGCGGTTTATTCACGATGTTTTGCGAGGATTAGATTGCGCACATGCTTACCTCGACGATATTCTCGTGGCTAGCCCAGACGAAGCTAGCCACCGTACGCATCTACAGATGGTTTTCGAGCGGCTAACAGCCCATGGTTTGACGCTAAACATGTCCAAATGTCAGATTGGCGTCCATTCATTGACCTTCCTGGGACATGTCATTAATGAGCAGGGAATTCGCCCGCTACCTGAGAAGGTACAGGCAATACGCGACTTCCCGGAACCTGCGTCAATGAAATCTTTACGCACATTTCTCGGCATGGTGAGCTATTATCGACGGTTCGTTCCCCAATGTGCACGTATTTTACTGCCACTCACAGACCTACTAAAGGGTAGGAACAAAACGTTCAGCATGACATCAGAGGCTCGAGAAGCCTTCCAGAATATAAAGTCGGCAATTGCAGACGCCACCATGCTAGTCCACCTTGACGTCCATCTTCCACTTAGCATCTCAGTCGACGCATCTAACACAGCCATTGGAGCTGTTCTACAGCAACTGGTACATACTTCATGGATACCAGTCGCCTTTTTCTCCCGGAAGTTGTCCGCCGCTGAAGCGAGGTATAGCACCTTTGGCAGAGAACTCCTCGCCATATACGCGGCTATCAAACATTTTCGCCACTTTGTTGAAGGTCGGAAATTCACAGTATTTACCGATCACAAGCCACTGACGTATGCCCTCCACACTACTACGGATAGATATTCCCCACGCGAACTGCGTCACTTGGATTATATCTCTCAATTCACCTCGGATATTAGACATATTTCGGGGGTTGACAATGCTGTGGCAGACGCCTTGTCTCGGATATGTACCATATCGGCGCCTCCAACCATTGACTTGAAACTAATGGCGCAACGTCAGCTTACAGAGTTAGACCTTGATAAGCTGTCGTCAAATACCTCCTTACATATCAAGCGTATCCCGCTCGTTAATAGCGAGGGTACCATCCTCTGTGATCTGTCCACCGGTACCCCGAGACCCATCGTTCCACCTTCATTGCGCCGTACAGTTTTTGATAGCCTACACAACCTTTCCCACCCAGGTATCCGGGCAACGGACAAACTAGTGTCAGCTAGATTTGTCTGGCCTGGTATCAATCGAGACGTGCGTGTCTGGGCACGTGCCTGTGTGCCGTGTCAACGAGCTAAGGTACACAAACACAACATCACCCCAGTGGGTTCCTTCTCCACACCCGATGCTCGCTTTAGCCACGTTCATCTAGACATAGTGGGTCCTCTACCACCATCAAATGGCCACTGTTATTTGTTGACATGTGTCGACCGTTTCACTCGTTGGCCAGAAGCTATTCCCATCCCCGATACGACCGCGGAAACCATTTGCCGAGTGTTCATGGAACGCTGGGTAGCTCAATTCGGATGCCCATCTACGGTGACTACAGACCGTGGACAGCAGTTTGAATCAACCCACTTCAAGAAGCTCTTAGAGCTACTGGGGTGCAAACGCATCCGAACAACCGCGTACCATCCAGCAGCAAATGGACTTGTGGAGCGTTTTCACCGTCAACTGAAAGCTTCGTTAATGGCTACAGAGAATACTAAGTGGACTGAGTCTCTTCCCCTAGTGCTACTTAGTATCCGTTCCACACTCAAAGCAGACTTACAGTGCACTTCCGCAGAGTTGGTGTTTGGTACCACCCTCCGTCTACCGGGTGAAATTATCTCACCTGAAAGTGGTGAACCAGGTGCTACGGATGTACAGGGTTATGCTCAGAACCTCAAGCGCCTTATGCAACGCCTGCAACCAACTCCCACTCGCACACAAAACAGGAGAGTGCAAGTAGACGCTAGACTCGATGGCTGTACCCACGTTTTTGTGCGTTGTGACACCGTCCGTAGACCCCTACAACCTCCTTACGATGGACCATTCAAGGTCGTCAGTAGAAAAGAAAAATTTTTTGTTATTGATCGATTTGGCCGGCAAGACACCGTAAGTGTAGACCGACTTAAAGCGGCCTACATTGAAGACTCGGTACCCCTGACGCCTACGCAACCGGCAACTACGCCCGCACTCACACCCCAGCCAAGTCCGATGGTCAACAATCCTGCTAAACCTAGCAGTTCCTCGGATGAGACAAGTAAGGCAACAGTTACACGCGCCGGTCGGCGTGTGCACTGGCCTAAGCGATACTGCGAATTCGTTAACTAAACACTTTTACGTATAAGAGTAGTTCATACTCTCATTTTTTTTCTTTCTTTGTCGCAGTTTACATTCATTTTCCATGGTATTTACCCTTTTGATTTAGTTTGTGGGCAGTAGCCGCTTTTACAGTTACTAACCTTGTTAGATTTCTTTCTCTTTACAGAGTGTTCTAGCATTTTATTTTCGGCCTTACACTCGAACAGCTAACTACATCAATCAACTCTATCGTCGTATGGTGACTACCAACACTCGTGGAATTACAACCCAAACGACCAAAAATATGGACCCGATAAAAAGAATAATAAAATAAATAAAAAATAATAAAATGTAAAAACAAAAACTTTCACTGTATAGTTAAACGGACCGTGAAATATTTTTGGTATGTAAATACGTCACTTCTATGCTGTACAGTTTAATCCGCTCAATCTATTTTCACAGATCTTACTATTTTCACTCGAGTTATGCCATGACGAAACTTATTTATTTTGTGACCCATACTTGTAATTACTTTGCATCACTTTAATTATGCAGCTCGCTACATTTTTTTTTAACAAATGGTGATTATACTTATTCATAGCTATTGGTTGTACACACTCTTCTCTGTACCTTGCATAAGTTTTCACAGTGTTAGCAATTTCCCTTGTTTTATTTCAATTTGGCGTACCATTTCCATGTTACACTAGTTCCTTCGCATTTATTTCGCTTAAGTTTTTGTTAACACCCTATGCTGATTTTTAAATCTTAACCTCTTCTTCTATTCTTTTCTGTTGCTTTTACTTTATTCCTCCTAATACGCTGGTATATTGATTGCCTTTGGTATTACTACTAGTTTTAGTTGATGAGGAAGGATGGAGCATTAGTCTAAGAGGAAACTTAGACATAATGAGCCACCTTCCAGTTATAACAACGTGGGTAACGGAGGTAAACCATCACACCTCCACATAACCAGTCCGTAAAAGTATGTCGTAAAAAAAAACCAAATAAATAAATTAAAAAAAATTAAAAAAAAGATACGTATAAATAAACGATGTTAAAAAAAAAAAAAAAATCGCACCAAGGCACCAGCGTTATTCCTTCTTATATTCCATCTTACTCCATGGATCGTGTACATAGTGCTCATAAATTGCCTTAATTTTTTTTCCTTCATTCTTTCCTTTCTCAATATATATTTTTAAAAAAAAAGAAAAACAGCTATTTTATTACTATCTTCACATTTTCTTGTCCATTCACCGTTATTGTACGCCACCTTGTTACTTTTATATATCGAAGCTTGCTGTTATCCCACCAACCTTCTAAGGGGGGGATAACCTGTAGTGTACATTGTACCTTTGAACTTTTGTTTGAATGAATGCAACCTGACATGTTGAACTTCACTTCCACTTCCGCATTGTATTCCTGAACCTCCTGTACGGTTTCGGGTTCGCTCTCTCGCTGTGCTTTCACCTAGCGCACTCTCTGAGCTTACCGCCGTCTCATCTGCAGATAAGTGTGTACCTCTTATTTCTTATCAAATTCCATATCTCTTTTGTGTAAATACAATTCTGTTCCAGTCACACTTGCCATCTCAAGTCTTTTAACCTTGATTCCGTTTGTTAGTACTTGCACGTTAGGCAGAGTACTATTAAGGCCATAAGCGGTGAATAAGTTTTGTAAGAGTAGTTACTTTTAGGTCGAAGTTAATACCAAGTCTAACTCTTACACGTCCACGCCATTTGGCACGTTGTCATATTCATGTATGATCCATAGCTAGTTAAGCAATCATTCTCGCACCACGATTTCAGTCCCGAAATATACTTCGGAATATGGACGATCAATATGGTGTTTTCATTTGTCTTTGGTCTACGTGGTACAAATACTGTAGGAGTTATGGGCGTACGATCTT